TCAACAGCCCTCAATAATTGAAAATAAATAAGTAATGAATGATGATAATGATAATAATAATAATAATAATAATAATAATAATAATAATAATAATAGTTTTTTTGAAGCCAGAATATATTTTAATTGAATCCCTAATCCAGAATTTATTTTAGAATAATTTAAAATGCACGAAAGTTATATTTTAGGGCTAATTTCCACGTATGACACTAAAAAAAGGCATTTGTATGCATTCGTACGCTAAGAAGCGCGCGTGTATTATTCTTAAAGCGCTAAATATTTATTAAAACGACTAAATTAGCATAAATAAAGGCTTTATTAGTAAGAAAAATAAGTTTAAAATTCATTAAACAGTCTGCTTTTTTAACAAGTGCCGCCACCTGGAGTCAAAATACTAATAAACTCGAAAAGAAATTTTTTTAAGTGACGTCACCAATCTACGTACATATCTTTGAATTTTTTTTTAAACCTTAACAATAGAAGCCGCGTAAAATTTACAACTGCGTAACGTTAATGCATTTTTGTTTTTTTTTATCTTTAAAAATAATTTATATAATATGACGACAAAGCAGGCGTAATTTTTGTACTCATTTTTAAAGGCCGAAACCATCCTTTTAGCGCTGTCATATATGTTTAAATGCTATAATCGTTTGGAAAATTTCCATTTGTAGAAACCGGTAGGACCGTCTGTCGTTCGGGCAATAGTAGATTTAAAAAGCCACACCTTTAAAAAAAAAGCGATTGCATTTTTCTTAACGTTACGCTCTTTATCTTCCGAACGTGACTTTAAAAATATTTATTTGTTATGGTTTAAAGTTCGACCGATTCGGAAGCCGAACAGACTCAAAAAGATTGTGATACGAGGCTCAAAATCGAAGACGACGAGGAATGCCAAGAAGAGAAGTCAAACGGATACATTCTGGATACTTCAGATTCCATTGTACAGCGGGATGATCTACAGGAATGCGCCATAGAGGAAGATAACCTAAAAGATTTATTTAATGTCGAAAAGGATTCCACAACAGAAGAGAACAGCTCGGGTCTAGATTCTTCTTCTTCAATTTTAACAGAAGCGGAGAACGAAGAGAAGAGCATGGAGGAAATTCCACAAGGGAAAGACGAGAAGGAAAGTAATTATGGAAATGAGCAAGAAAAGGGTGAGTTTACACGATAATTATCTAATTTTATGCTATTGTCTAATGATAGAAAGCTCAAATCTCGTTTTATCCATTAAATTTTATTTTTAAAATTAATAATAAATTCAGAGGCAAGTCATTTACTTTATTCGTCATTCCATAAGGTCTGGAGTGTTTCCTTCTTATCATTCTGTAGTTTCTTTAAAATGTAGATTTAATACTTTAAATATGGTAAGAAAAATATAATATATAATCTTCTAAACAAAATGAAGAGCTATTTTACAAAACAAAACCCATTATTCCAGTAAATCAGGTATATCTGGTACTCAATTTTAAATTTTTTTTTCGTTCGAAGTCTGAATAATTGATTATAAACAGGAATTTTCGAGAAGTAAAACAATCTGTAGCTATTCTAAACATTATCTGGATCCACCCATGGTCTCAAGGATAGAATTTTTACTGTGATTAATGATGTATATTTATACGCAAATGCGCACGAAACGAAACGAGCGACCTACTATACTAATGAAACGAGTATAAGATTACGTAAAGATATTTGCAGAAGTGATTGGGCATTTTAAAATTTAAATCGACCAATAATCGTCGATACGGATTCAAATTTTCGAATTAATTAATTCATTTACACGTTAACGAGTAATTATTTTAATTAAAAATGTATTATTAAGAAAATATACGAAGCCTCCTCCAGTGCCTCCTAGAAGAACGAAGATAGAATGCTCTCCTCGAACATATACAGGTACATCAAAGATACCCAGGCCTACCCATCGAAAGCNTAACTTTTTAAATTCAAACTAGCCAATCGAGATGTAACTATTTTTTAAACATCCAATCTACAGCAATTAAATTGATATCGATTAAATTTTTAAATTCGAATTAACCAATTAAAGAAAAGAAATCGAATTTCGTTTATTTAAAATTTAAAAATGGAATTTAACGTCGTTTTATGTATAAAATTTTTTTTTTTTTTTTAATTTTTCACACGATACGATGATTGACAAGAATTTAAATAAATATATATATTTCTATCGATTTATCAGGTCTTTATTTATTTATTTTCCCTATTTTGTACAAGTCACGCCACATAATCGTTTCCTAATTCAGTAAAGTAATTCGAGCGTGGTGTGCGAGAAATTATCAATTTTTATTTACAAAATTTTCATTTTGCTTATGACTCATACCTAACTCGCTTGCGTAAAGGGTATAAAGTTTTGCTGCAACAATTTGCAATTAAATTCCGATCAGATTCGTAATGCTACGGCATTAATAAATTGGAAATCTTGGCAAGAATTGAAACAGAAACTGATGATGTAAAAAAAAAAAATAATAAGAATAGTAGTGAAGGGGCGAAGTTATTGACGTCACAAACCGGTCAAAAACTCGCTCGGTAGAGGTCGTCAGTGCAGCTTTAGGTTTCAGCGTGTCCGCTTCGCTTTAAAACTTCTCTAACAACAGACGGAGAAAGGTGCGCAAGTGGCACTAACAAATTTTTCTTTTCTGCAACAGAATCTCTCGAGGTAGCATGAAGGTAAGGAGAGAACTTTTTTCCCCTACCTGTAAAAAGTTAAAAACGTGCTTTAACCGCGACGGAATGTAGAATGTAGTAATTACTAGTTCTTTAATCATTTTTTTTAATACTTTAAAAACTCTTATGATGATTATAACTTGTACACTCCTGCATGCCAATTAGCATTCGTGCTTTTTTTTGTAACGAGGTAATGTCAATATACAGCAGAGAATGTATTAGCGAATTCAGAAAAGTGCGCTCAAAAACTATCCTTGAATATGTATATATGGAGATAGTGTAACAAGGACAACGCAAAGGCAGGTCAAAACAGGAAAAACCTTTAAGTGAGTAGAGGGCTTGACCCGCCTTGTGCGTTTGTCCAAGTTTTCTGATCGGTTCGACCGCTCGCTGACACATCCTGGTCGAGTTAAAAAGAATGGCATTGTTGCAAGTCGATCGCCATTGTTTTATAGCTTTTAAAGAACAATGAAATGCCATTGTATATTATAATGCCCACCAATGCGTTCCAGATACTTCGGAAGGACGTGTTCAAGGTTATTAATACGCATATACGACGATTTTTAAACTCGCAGGCGCATGAAGCGAACCTGATGCAATACATCGATAAGAGAGATTAAGTTGACTTACTAGAGTAATCCCATTAAAAATATACTGCTCATATATATAAAAATATATAAATATATATATATACACACACACACACATATATATATAAAGTGATAACCGCATTATGCAATCGGTCATGTGTAAATAATTAGAAAGTCGCATTAGTTGCGACGAGGATATTGTCAGTGTTCTTGTTAAGTAACAATAGAACTTTCTTAAATCAGACACTAAAACAGGATTATCCTGTAAATTGAGACAATTTTAAGAGAAGAAAAAAGGGTGGAAGAGCGTTTTTCCTTCATTTTAATGTCCTAAATAAACAGGTGTGCCCCATAGTGACCCTCTTCTCGTCTTGCGTCACTGATTTGGTAAGTCACGCTCGCGACAACTTTCTTCCTACTACGGAAACTGCAATATTGGGTATAAAATACCTGATGTCTGATGAACCGGAACTTCCTCCCATGGACTTTAACACCCGAAATAATTCAATTTAATTTCCTTGAAGAGCCTAATTATTCATAGGGATGGAGGAATGAGCTAGCCAACATCCCAAAGATTTATCTTCAAGATAATTATTTTTCGTTCTCCCTACCAATGCAGAGAAACCGGATCCTCCCACACAACGTTATTGTTAAAATAATCACATCATACTAGTATCTCCCTTCAATATATATATATATTTTTTAAATATTATTCTCCTTCCTTATCTGTTTTGGTTAAAAGTTCACTTTTTTCACAACTTCACTAAGCCATTACAATATTGTTTTGGTCGATAAACCAAGCCTGTCTGTACATGCAACGTTGATTACACTAAAATCATAGTCATTGGAATACAGATAAAAATCTAGCAAAACCACAGCCAAAAACGATTGTTCTGAAGGGGGTGAGCAGCTTCTTTGTATACGTCACTCCATTCAGTTTATTATTTTATTTTTATGTGCAACCAAATTAGAAACAGAAGTTCCATATTTTTGCAACTTACAATGCGGCTTTGGGTGGAAGGAAGATCGAGAATACACGCCTTCGTTTATACAATTTTCTTTTCTTTTTTTTTTAAACGTTTTGTTACGCTCATGCTTGCGTAACCAGTTACTCCATCAAAATTTAATCAGTTTGCAATACAAAAATACACGTTAAAATTATTAATTATTCGACAGATTAAAACTTATCTACTGTTTATAAATGCGGTAATACGATTCTCAAGTATGTAAGAAAATGGACTGTGAGCCCCGGAAGCAGACTTAACAAGCAAAAATTTTTAAAAATTACACAAAGCGGATCGTTTCACAGTTTTCCTCATTTAATTATTCGAAAATTAAAAAAAAAGTCCGACTGGCAACACTAAAAACTAAGCGAATTCACCGTTGAAATTGCCTTAAATGACTATCCCGCAGTAACGCGCTACGATTCGTGTCATTGGCTAATTTAAAAACGATCCAGATAAAGTGTCATTCTTTTTACGGAATAAACCCGGAGAGAATTTTAAAATAAAATTAGTTTTGAAATTTCGTGAAGACTAGTTAGCATTGAAGAACCAGTATACTGTTGGAGCTGTCAGTATAAACTATTAAAAAGTAACCTTCGTGTTCTGACCTCCTTTTCTTGGCACGTATCGATACTGAAAAATATTTATAATATTAATTAATAAGTAGTAGTAGTAGTAGTAGTAATAATGGACTGTTAAGATTACACTCGAGTTAAAAAAATATAAAAAATAAATAAGAAAAAGAGGAGATCAGGATTGGCTTAGGAATGTGGCTGGACGATGGCGGTCGTTAGCCCGTCATGTCTGGCCAACGATTCTTGTTTTGCTGCCATCCACTCATAACAGATAGTGAAGTTGCATGCTTAGTCGGTTGCGAAGTGCAGACAAACCAGAAGTGAGTAGAAAAAAAAAATTACTAGGTAAGCCAGTGCAGGTGCGACTCCAGTCAAAGTGTAACAGAAAGTTACTTATATATGATTTATTTTTTTTACCTTTTCTTTTAAATTCAGGTGAAGAAAAAATGGAGGTAGTATCTTATCCGGATGAGCAGTTTCTACCACCCACAGTTTTTAGGCAACCACCCGACGGGGATGAGTTTCCACCAAATTATACAGAGCCGGCCATTATCGAAAACAGATTGGAGGATTCTGGAGTGTTTCTAGAAGATGCTGTGAAAGTAACGAATAATCAGTATGTAATCTATCCAATGGATTTACCTGATGGCAAGCTCAGGAATTCCCCCGAGGAGAAGTCTCTCGCGGCACTAGATGAACTTATACATGGAAAGAATCATCAAGTAGTACAGGAGACGATGCAGATTACAAAAGAAAAGGAAGACGACGACAACAACGACGACGACGACGACGACGGAGGAGGGGAGAGTAAAGAAAAAAAGAACGAAGATGGGCAAAAAGCAGAAGAGAAATCGAACGAGGTGGACGAAGAAACGAGTATTAAAGCCGAAGAAAATGAAACTAGCAACGAAAGTAATTTAAAAATGGAAGAAATAAATAACAATGTCGATTCCGGCAGCATTCCGAAACCTAATGACATTTATGAAACGATAAAAAATGGTCATCATATATTAAGCGAAACTGACGACAAAAAGCAGAATCGCATGCAACCAGAGATCGGTAATAGATGGAAAAGTGAAGAGAATTTGAGAGTGAACAGGATATCTTCTCGTTATTCTAGAAATAATGAAGCGCAGGTTAGTGTAAAGGACAGGATAGCCATGTTTTCTCGTTCTGAGATGTCGTTGAATCAAACGGCGAAAGCGTCTACTCTTAAAGAAGAAACGGCCATTAAAGAATCTCCTAAAATCGAAGTGAAAGTGTCGAATTCTCCTATTGCAGATTTTAATTTGAAAGAATGCAAGTGGCATAGCACTGGTAATATATCATCTGGAGGTGGAAACAAGGAAAAGAACGAAATTAACAACAACAAAGATATTACTAGCAGTTTAATATCAATTCCAAATGAAATAGCTATGGAACAATTTAAGAAACCAGACGTAGTGTCATCCTATCCTCAGACGCAATGGTCTAGATATCAAAGGTATAGTTATGGTGGTTATAATTATCCGAGAAGATTAGAGGACTGTTATAAGAGATTCAGTAGTGGATCGCTATTTTCTCCTCTGGATAAAAAGCAATCCAAGTTAAAAGGTTTAGTTATACCGGAGAAACCCGCTACATTGCCAACAGTCAATAAATCATTGCCAACGATTGTCAGCTGTAGTTCAGTATTACTTAATAAATTAGATGTGCCAAAACCTGTACAGAATTACTCCAATTTAAGGACAGAAACTGTTTTATCTGTGGATTGTAAAGAGACGGATGCATCCGGTGATAAAAAATACAATTTTAGTCAAATTGTGGATGTGTCGTGGAAACAGACTAATGCCAATTTACCTAAATATTCTCCTGCATTTAAGCGTAAATCCTTACAGCTGACCAGACCTGCCAGCACTCCTTCGATTTCGCCAACACCACCTTCTTCGCTGACTTCTCCGCTTTCTCCTTCGCCTCCGTCCAGCATCTGTAGTAGTAATTCTAGTTCTCAAAAACAAGATGTCTTTCAATTACCTGTAGAACATGGAGATAATAATAGTCATGACAATTTAAGTTCTACTAATTCCTATCTGTCTAACAGATATCAAGAAGTAAACTCTGGTAAATATTTGGCCCAGCCAGTCGCAATAACCGAAACGAAAACATTTGAGTCTTCGGAATTAAATGGTAAAGACATCAAAACTAGAACAAGTAAAGTAGAAGAGTGGTCTGTTATTAGCAGATGGGCAAGACAGAGTGAACAAGATGATGATTCCACATCTAGTACCAGTCAGCAGACTGAAGACTCTAGACATTTAGCAGACGACTCCATGTCGGAAACCAATTCCGATTCGGAATTCCGTCCCCGTTTCCTTAGCCATCAAAAAACCGTACTGAGGATGCCTTCGGATACCACCGACAGCGTCCGCAACTTCCGTGCCCTGGCAGAGAAGTGGGCTCAGAGATCCGGTGATAGCAGTGATGCTCTCTCGCCAACACCTTTAGTTTCTCCAACTCATACGCTGAAGAAAGAAATGGGAAGAAGAGGAAGTCAAGATAATGGAACCAAATTACCTCCTTCGCTGAAGCCACGTAGTTTGGAAACAACAGATGTGGTAAAATTACGAGAAGATAAGCCAAAATTAACTAGACCTACATCTCTTGTAGATAATCCCAGATGTACAGGTGGACTGAAAAAATTGGAATACGCGGAGTCATGTGAATCTCTTACTAGATTGACTAATCGCAGTAGAGATTATAAGAGTAGACATACTGGTATCGATACCGCTTCTAGGTCTCTCAGTGTTAGCGATATTCGCAAAACATTTGAGAATGCCACAGTTCAACAGAATGGATTTAAGGCTAATGGATTCAAAAAATCAGTCCAGCAACCAGAACACAAGAGAATGCCAGTTGATCACAGTCGAATGTCTTCAATTGATTCAACCTGCAGTGAAAGATCAAATGTTAGTTTGGAGTCATCAGATTTAACAGTAATTCTGAAAAAGCCCCACACTACCGGTAGCATAGGCATTACTTTAGCTGGTGGTATTGACTGCGAAGTCAGAGATATAACAGTAAGTATCAAAGTTAACATATTTAAAACCAGAATCAAACAGCTAACGGTATAAATTCTGCTTACAGGTCCATAAAGTCATTTCGGGAAGTCTGGCTGATCGCGATGGACGATTAAGAAAAGGAGACAGAATATTAGAAGTGAATGGTCAGCAGATGGATGGTCTCACACACCGGGATGCTCAGGCTTTGTTAAAATCACCCTGCACCGAAATGGAACTGGTAGTTTCTCGAGCACCGGACGGAATCTGTCGTGATAGTAGTCAAAGTCTAGATGCAACTGTAATAAATAAGAATAGTTAGTAAAATTTTATATAGTTAAATACATTCAATAGAATGCTTTATTCTTACATTTAAATACTTACCTTTATATTTAGTCTCAAACAGTAACAGCCAAAGGCATCTGTCTGTGGAATTATTGAAGGAAGGTACAGGCCTGGGTTTTGGCATTGAAGGAGGAAAAGATTCCCCTCTTGGTGATAGACCACTTGTGATTAAGAGAATATTTAAAGGTAAGAAGAAAATCGCATAGTTTATAATTTTGCACTTTCTAGTAAGAACATAAGCTATATTTATGTACAAGCTTAAGAAAAAGTACTTTAATTTAAGCTGGCGCACAACTTTTATTACTGTTTAGAGATAATACTAACCACTGTGTAACAGCTTCTTGTTGAATTTATTCATTTTCATGTAAAGTATTTTTTTTTTAAATTTTCATAAACAAAGACCAAAAAAGTTTGATACTGATTAAACGTGGCTTTGAATTTATAAAAGTTTTTGCTTGTTGGAAGCAAATTTTAATGTATAATTTTTGAAATTAAATTATACTTGGTTAAATTTTTCTAAAAAAAATAATTTAGATTGGTTTATATTAAAGATTATAAAATTTAGTTTGAGTTAAAGTAATCAGTCGTATTTTTTAAATATTACTAATTATAATAATAATTATTATTTTTGTTGAAAGAATACTTATATACTACTTTAATTCCTAAAAATTAATTTACCATAAATATTTCTGCATTTTTATTAAAATAAAAAAACGAATAACTGAAAAAACTGGAATTGTGATGTGTCAAATGATAATTATGTCAGCAATTTTGTTCTGTAATTCAACTATAATCTTGAATTTTCATATTTTAAATTAATGTTATTAGTGCCAAAGCATGTTTTATGTTATTACAAATTACATAATTATATTCTAGAGAACAAATTTAATGAAATATAATTTAAAATTTGGTTAAATTAATTTTGATTTAAAATACATGCTTTAAATTACATTTAGAAAATTTAGTTTTTCAGTATGATTAAACAAAATAAAACTGTGTACTTGTTAATTAATGCTAAAAAATATGTAACATTTTACAAAAATAATATATTTATCAATTAAATAATTGTTTGAACCAAATGTAACTCTGTACACTTTCAATAATATGATATGAGTAGATCACTTGCCAAATTGATTAACTCCATAAAACAAAAAGTATAAAAATTAATAATATAAATTATTTTAAAAAATTTCTTTTAAACTTTAAATTTAAATAAACATTGTAGAATGTATTTTTATATACTGTTATATTAGAGCACAGCTTTAATGTAACAATATATAAAATTGTTATTATTTTTACATTTTTTGTATAACTAATTATCTTATGGATTTACAAATGAAGTTAATCTATTTGGTCTGTGAATGGCTCATATATTGTTTATGGAACAATAATTTATATTTAGACCAATAATTTACATTTGATTTGAGTAACATAACTATAACAATATAACAGTTTTGATGTTATTAAGCCTACTTTAATGAATTTTAAAATGTGAATTATCATTATCATTAATTAAAATTAATTTATTTACAAGGTGGAGCAGCAGATAGAGAAGGTACGCTAAAAGCTGGCGACGAATTAATATCAGTAAACGGCCAATCTCTTGGTAACATGACACGAACGGAAGCTTGGAACTACATGAAGAAATTACCGGATGGTTTAGTAACGCTAACAGTGCAAGTTAGTTAAGATAATTCTTGAGCAAGTTTATCATCCAATATCTTTTTTACATTAAAACAATTTAGGATTTTCATATTTTTTTTACAATTTTCGGAGGTTCTAAATTAAAAAAAAACTTATTTTTAAAGCATTGATACTAATAAATATATTAAATAATTATTGCCTGTATAGGTTCTGTGATATAAATTGTGTGTGCATATGAAAGGAAAATCAAAATTTCCTTTTGTGTAAATTATACGGTGATTGTATAATTAGTTTCGGTAAAGCGTACTTATGCAAATATTTTTGAAAAATTCAGAATAACGATTTTTTATAACTGCAGCAAAGTACAAGTTTTTAACAACAGAATAATATTTTTTTTATCCAAAAAATAAAAAGACTATTTATCTAATAAAAGTTTGCCAGTCTGTTGTTTTTACTGGCATGAAGGGAGTGGTATACAGGTGTATATGTTTTACTAATTTCTTGAAAATAAAAATTATTTGTAACATTTTTCTCTCACTTGCTCTCTAAAATAAAATCATAACTGCTACAAATGAAATTTTCACAGTTTTATTTATACAAATGGAAAGATACATCTCAAAGATTCACAACAAGATAACAAATGACTAGCTGCAGAAATCTTAAAGTACCCAGTAATGGCAGTAATAGCGGGCATTTTACAAGTTTTCTTTTGAAACTTCCCATTCCCCACATTCATCAAAATTTATACCTCACGACATTCAGCACAAAAGCTATACATTTTCAAGTCAACACGAAGATGTGGTGTAGTCAAATGATACAATAAACATAGGTTAAAACTCAAATTAACTATACATAGAAATATATTAGCATATGAAACTACAAAAAATTTACAAAAAAACTTTGTAGGTGGAAGCCCAAAGTTTTACTACATTCCCATCACCATTTATATGGCAATTATGCTAATAATTTAATTATATTATGTTACCTAATTATCCATCAATTTTTAAACAACTGCATAACTTTATACCAAAGTATTTAGAGAACTGAGGAATGTTCATGAGAATCTTAAATTTTTAGAAGTCAATGTATTTTTGACTAGCAGATGTCAAACATCTTTGGTCTAAACAAATACTGTTCTGAAACAAATTTCATAAAATGAATCTTTGTTGCTCTGGAAGTTAATGTTTATCAAGCATTTCTGTTAAAATGGTCTCTGAAAAGCACTAAATTCCAGCTAAGTGAATTTTGAAGTAAATGTTACAAAATATACAAAAAATTTAGCAATGTGGATGCTAAAATTACACAAATGAATGCATTCAAAATGGATTTTCTTTGATTCTGTACTAAATAATTCCAAATTTTATATAACAAAGATAAATGTAATCAAAATACAAGTAAACAAAACAAAATTTTCTTAACTATCAAATATTTTCTAAGCACCATTTCTATCAATGATAAACACAAGAAAAATAAAGGCTATGTAATTTGCCACATAAATCCAAATTCCAGCAAGAAAAATAACTACGAGCAATATTTGAGCAATAGGCTTTTAATGTCATTAAATAACAACTTTATTAATATAAACTGCCTAACAGTACTTGATTAGAAACTCATACAGGCATCAAAGTATACAATGTTTTGCACTTATTGGAAGATCCATTACAGATTATACAAATCATATGTAACATGTGAGAAGAGGTAGCATTTAAATGATATATATATATATAAATAAAAATTGATTATATCAAGCACAAGAAGCAGTAATTCCTGGATAAACTATTTGTGACAAATTAATACAATATGTTAATGAACAAAATGAAATATGGAATGAAAACTGATGTATAAAAAATTTATATATGTATATATAAAGTTAATTATTATTAAATAAATAAAATAGATTTCTAATGATAAAAATTTCCAACTATTATCTTACATCTAGACACAACACTCATCATACAAAAACTAACACTGAAATATGCTGATGATCCTATATATAGATACATTTTATAAAGCACAATGCAAATTGTGATCTAAGATATTATATATGATGACTCTCAATAGTTACGAGTATGGACCGATATGAATGCAAGGACAATTCGATATTTAACGAATAATCTCCTAGTTTCGTGACGATTTCTCAATCCAATGAATGACAAACAACATACTATTATATATTAAAAAAAGTATCTGCTAAATCTGTTAAGTTATATTCATGCTATGATTAAAACCAGCAGCATGATGTATGAATGGTGGTAAATTAATCATTATGGGCTTACGTTTGACATAATTCCTGATTATAGATTGGCAATCTGAACATTTCAGAAATACATATGTTAACAATATTAAATAACATTGTGCTGAAGTCTCCCGTCAATTTTGGCAACCATTTACAAGTCCATTTATACAAATAAATATTAATTAAATAATCATGCAACGTTCCTTCCAGTGCAATAACAAAATTTTCCACAACTGTCAAATTTGAAAAATAATAAGTTAATAAATATTTCCTGGTTATAATTATTTTTGGTTTTATACAATTAACTCTCCAAACTATGATTTTTCACAATTGCTTTCAAGCAGTCTGTTATAACAGCAATATCAACAAAGCATATAAGAAATTAACAGTTTTTAAAGATATGGCATGAAGATATTTTAACATTATAAAAAAACCACATCAACAGCCCTCAATAATTGAAAATAAATAAGTAATGAATGATGATAATGATAATAATAATAATAATAATAATAATAATGATTGTGTGAAAAAAAAATAACCTTCACACTTTGGCTGAAAATAACAAAGATCATTTGTAATACCAACGTCATTTGCATCGTAGCAGGAGTACTTTCAGTCTCACGATAGTTTATTCAAGCATTCTTTAGAAAGAATTAGAGGCTTAAGTACTCTAAGATGTAAATTCTGTTTTCAGTCAAAAAATATCATTGTAATGCCGTATTAAATCGTAACATCAGAAATAATGGATGTCGAATTTCTTATGTAAGACTGCTATACATAGTTTGATATTTAAAATTGTAACATATTTAAGATATTTCATAAATTTGAGAAATGTTGTAACTGCAATGCATATAACAATATACATTATTTATATTTATATGTATATATATAGTTTTTGTACACTAGTTTTGATGTTAAAGATTATTTCAAATAATCAGTTTGACAAATACTTTAAATGAAGAAAATTAAAAAAAGTGACAAGTTATTATTTGTACTCTGAAAAAGTTTTCCTAATTACTCACTGATTAAATGCACTTTTTTATTTTAAACTCCAGGATGATTGTGGAGAAATGTTCTGAATAATGCATGCATTAATGAAAAGATATTTTCGTATTGGAAGAAGCTAATCATTCCGACTCGGTGTCGCTTTCGTTAAAACCCGACAGATCCACGTCTTCAAGCAGTCCTCTGCTCAGTGCATATTCCAGTAATGCTAGGTGGCAAAAAACGTATTGGTCGGGCATTTGTATACTGAAAGCCCTCTGGGATCTTATGCGTTCCACAGTTCTACACACGTCGATTCTTCCTGTGGCTTCTAGACGTCGCAGACATATATCTAATGTGATGAAGGTGCCTGAAATTGAAAATGGTGTCATAACTAATGGATTGCCATGAAAAGTGTGAAATATATGCTTTTATGGCTAAGTGAAAATATGGTAAATTTATTGAAAAAATGTGCAAAATAAATATTTAAGATTACCTGTCCTTCCTATTCCGGCACTGCAATGTACCACTATGGGAGGTCCCAATGGGTGACCGTTCCACTGAGTTCCATAAGACTGTACGATTCGTGCCTGGCAATCTCTGACCTTATCTCTGAAATCCAACATGGCCAAAGCGGAATGTGGCACTCCGTAATCTGGCCAACTTGTAAACTGCATATGTGCTACTTGTTGAGAAATTCCAGTCTGTTATAAAAATAAAATTCTATTAATTTTTATTTTAAAAAAACTTTTATATTAAGCAAAATAGTATGGTGCACCATCTGTTATGAGATTTTGTTATAAAAATTTTACACATTTTTAATTATCAATACTATAAAATGGCAAAAAGCTTGATTTTGAGGNTGTCACGTAATAGTATCCCCAAGAACGCGGGGTGAGAGAGGGAGAAATTGTGAAAGAGGGAAAATTTGTGGGCTTCCCTTGGTGTGTGTCGAGTCAGTGTTGTGTGTGGAGTCAGTACTGACTGGGGAGCTAACCAGAATGGGTAGCCGTGTGGCTGGTCTGAGATTTTAAATTCAATTAAACTTAGTGTAGAAAAAATAAAATATAGAATTTCTTGCTAATTTTAATTATTCACACAAATAAAATGTGGATATATTCATAACATATTTAATGTCAGAAAATTTAAATCTTACAAAAATCTGTAATCATTGCATTACTAAATCTTACAAAAATTTGTAATCATTACAAATTTGCAATTCTAAAATTTCTGCAACAAATTTTTCCTTGTGCAATTTAAATTCAGAACAAACCAAAAATAGTGAAATAATTCAAATACAACAATTATTATTATTTTGTTTTGTACTTCATTAATAAAAATAAACTTTATCACACTTGAATCATTCCTAAAAATCCTGTTTGAAATCAAATTATTCATAAACTTGAGAAGTTATACAATACAAAGTAATCTGAAATATTCAGGTTATGGAAGATAACACACATCCAGGAATAAAGTGATGATCGAGAGTGAAACATTTGTAAACCATGTAACAAAAAATATAGAAGTTTTTTTTGATGGTAATTGAAGTCGGGTAAATAAATTTTCATTCACAACCACATTAATAATTTTTAAACTGTTTCAAAGCAATTTGTTGACTTGTTTCAGTCAAAAAAACTTCACTATAATTGTATTATTATTAAATTTTTAGCAGAAGATTCGAATAAAATAATGTGTATTATTTCAGAAAAACATAAGAAATTTATTTATAATTCGTCTCAAGTGTATTGCAACAAGAAATTTTATTAATGGAGAAACTTGAAATTAAAATTTAAATGGCAATAATAATTATTTCACTTGGTAAATACACATGCTAGAATGCAATAGAATCAATGTATTCAGGATTGGATTTCGTCTGACCATTTCTAATAAAATTAATAAGTTTTTTTCTTTAAATATTAAAATTTCAATTTTTACAGTCAACATTTTTGAATTACACAACAAAATAATTTAAAATACTAAATCAAAAGCAGACATCAAGATATGAGATATGAATCATTAATACAAATATTTATTATATAGTTCAAGTACTTTAGTTATTGCAAAATAACTTTGTGAACAAATAAACTGAATAGAATGGCATTCAAACAGCAAGTTTTGAAGGACTTTAGAATATAATTTTATATTTTTCAAATATATTATATGTATTTCAAAAGCATAATTGTAAGATATTAAAAAAATATATTTTTTTCATAAAACAGTCATTCTGGTCTTGCAACATTCCTCATCTTTTCTAGATAATACAGAACTTTCCTGTATATAAAATATTGCATTTTTGTAAAATTTTGCATAAAGTTAGAAAATAATTCTTCATATACATCAGATGATAACCTATTGTCAGTTTTATTTTAATTCTTTGTATACTTTTTCTATAATAAATACAATGTAATGTAATTGACAAGACAATTTTTTAATTACATATTTTGGATAAAACTTTATATTCTGGAATATGCCAGAAAGACAAAAGGAGGATTTTTGACGAGTGTGCACTTAAATTATTAAGTATATCTTAATTATTAATGTAAATAAGCAGAAAAACATTGATTTCTTAAATGGTTACAGACATACTTACTCTGGTGTCTGTGAGAACGAGATTTGAAATGGTGTAGTCGGCATGCTGTTCCATTCCGCTGTTATAAACTTGGAAACATCCGTATTCGGCTCTGGTGTCTTCATCTTTGGGCCAGTACTGGCCACACTTCATTCGACTTCTCTCCATTGTTCTTGTCGTCATAACAATGACACCCACCTGTTGTTCCCAAATCATACGCCAGAAGTCGGGAAATGTCTTTGGTAAGGGTCCTAAATTAAAACAAGAATTTGTTATTTAAAAAATGCTTAGACATAAAATGTTCTTTACATTTTTAATTAAAAAAATTCTGAAAATAGCAGCAATTAATGTCAGCAAAAAATTTATAACAAATTTACTTTTTAGGTTATTCATTTTTTATTAATATGTGCTGAAAATACAAAGTTTAATTAATTTTCAGCATGTTCTATTATAAACAGTCAATTATATGTAAAATGACAATAAAAATTATTAATTAATAGAGAAGAAAAATATAATCATTTTTTTCCTCTATTATCTTTATGAAAAATCTTAATCTTTATATTCTTATTTTTTTTTTTTTACTTAAGATTTTTCATAAAGATTCCTCTTAATTACACTACCCTCATAGTGCAGCAATTAATATTTGTAAACTGATCTTCCACAAATATTAAACACACAATCTCTTAGTATCATTGAATTACTAAATATACAATTTTAGGGGAGGAAACATTATTGTCACTGAATCACATGGCTTTCGAACTCTCAAACTGGAATTAGCATACAGACCACATTACCGTATAGAAATACTCCATATATTGCAGTTAATGCATTTGTTAAGTTCAATTGTAACATGTGTCAGGTGTGTGGATGTCAGCAAGTGTTGATGGACAGTCCACAGCTTTGTCACACGTGTCACGTAATAGTATCCCCAAGAACGCGGGGTGAGAGAGGGAGAAATTGTGAAAGAGGGAAAATTTGTGGGCTTCCCTTGGTGTGTGTCGAGTCAGTGTTGTGTGTGGAGTCAGTACTGACTGGGGAGCTAACCAGAATGGGTAGCCGTGTGGCTGGTCAGGAACCAGTATTGTATTGTAATTATCAAATAATTGTCTGGTGCAGGAGTGTTGCTCAATTGTGGAGTGCCAGAGAGTCACTCGCTGATTTGGAGACATTAAAGTGTAATTGTGTTGTTATTGTTAGAAAGGAAGTGTGTACTGTGTTCTTTTAGACTGTGTAAACGAGAACATTTTACACCACCATCATCACATCATCATTTTTTATACAATAGCATTCTAGAAAATAGTTGCACTAACCAAGGAATATATTTAATAAGAAAAAAAGGGACAATGATTTGTGAAAAAGTAACTTTTTACTTATGTTATTTGGATTCACCTTCCCCTTCTTTTCATCAAAAAGATCTAGGAAGCATCAAATTGCATTTTCTAATTCTCCTTGTGCATTAATTGCTGTTTTTTGTTCGTACTGATATTCAAAATTATGTTGAAAGAAGTGTTGACTGCCTAAACATTTTTACAAGTTCTGATTAAAAAAAAATTTTAATTCAATTACTTACTGTGTTATCACAATGCAGGACTGTAATATTTAATCACATTTTAATTTAAAAATTGGCTTTCCATGTCTGGTCTTGATTTTCATCTAACTTCATTCTTAAGATTAACAAAGGATAGACAGACCAGGAAAAGTGGAAATGTATAAATATGTAATTTTCAAATTGCAGGGAAAAAATAAAAATAAATGGTTGGATCAACTGTGGCTCCTGACAATGCATATTACAATATAAATATATTGTAATATGCATTTGTAATATGTTTTTTTTTTTTTGCTTTAAAGTTCTCAATTATTAAATAGATACTTATGCATAAGTTCATATTTCTTTGCACTTTTCTAAAAGAATATAACTTTTCATTAAAATAAATTTATTATACATTTCATATAAACATAATTTAAAGAACTATTAAAATGGTTTAATCCACTTTTTATCATTTACTTACATTAACGTCATTTTATGTTAAAATTTACTTTTAAAAGTATAGTTATATAATACACTTTAGGAATTTTCAATACAATATATGGTTTAAACAAAGGAGTAGCTATGCTTTTTAATAAATTCAAGAAATGAAAATTATTACAAACTTATAAAAGAAATTAAAGAGAATCCTAAATTAATATTTTTTAATATTTTATATTTTTGAATAAATATAATTAATAAATTAATTATGTTTATTCAAATTTTAAATAAGTATAAAACATACAAATTAAAATTTGAATGTTTTATACTTATTTAAAATTTAAAGTTTTGTATTTAGGTAATTTATTATCTAAAAGGTATAGATAATGTGCAGGAGTGTCATAAGCAAAAACTACAAGAGTATGTCATAAGTAAAGCATGAAGTATTGTGCACTAAACCAATTTAGTTTTTTTCTTTTCTCTTCTCCATTCTTGTAATGTATGAACTAGCCTTTATACATTTACTAAAATTATAATATTTAACTTACTGTAACAAACAAAAAATGCAGATAAACCAATGCATATGAAGAAAAAATCCTAAAAATTTTAAAATCTAATTTGGTAGCTTCAAATTTTAACATCTTATCTTTCATAAAGTTGTTTTTGAATTTTTTTAATAGTATAGTAATTAATTTATCTTACCAATGAACTTCTCAAACTGTTTGAATATATATCAGATAAGCAGTTACACATATTTATAATGTAATAAAGTATTTCATACTTTTTTACTATGTTTACTGTAAATGGGAACCACATATAAGTATACCTATTATCATCTCTGTCATATGTAAATTTATAAATTATTGTGATTGATTTAACAAAGTATTTTTATTTCTGATCTTGTAATTAAAGTGTAAATTTTAAAATTAATCTGTGGAACAACTTTAAATATCAAACTTCTTATAAGACATAAGTAACTGAATGTAATCCAAACTCACCATAATTAATCAGGCAATTATTATGCTATAATTAATAATTTAGATAAGAGATGGCATCTAACATCTACTTCTAGTACAAAATTACTTAGTTTCTAATTATTAATTATAGCATAATAATGACCTGATTAATTAATTAATTACCACGAAAGTTTGGATTAGTATCAATACACTGGCTTCGGGATGTTGATATATGTACACTACTTTGACAATATACACAAGCACATGCGATTTATAAATTTGAGTGTGACGGAGTTAATAATAAATTCAAGTATGTGGGAAGACTAGTAGACAATTAAAATAAGATTTAGAAAATATAATGCAGGGCGAGGTTAAAATTAGACAGTTTGGCAATTTCTTGCAGGTGCAACCATACAATTGTAACATTGACAGAGACAAATTAAATTATAAAAAAAGGAAAAACATGTATAAAAGAAAATTTTTGAATAAGAATAAAATAGTATTTTTTTCTTACTCAAAAATTTTCTTCATATATGTTTTTCTTTTTTTTTATAATTTTTAAAAATTTTCTTTTAGACTATTTTATTCATCTAATAGTGCTCCTGTGTGATAAGTTATACTTGGCAATTTTATGCTTACTCCCAAAGAACAAAAGAAAGAACAAGAAGCAATCAAGTATTAAAGCTTTATTATTGTTATTGTTTAGGCAATGGCTTTACATTTTATGAAACATGCGAATAATAGATTTTTAAAACCCATTTACCTTACTCTTTGCCTTATAAATATGTTATATTAGCACATAATAATAATATAACACATTGTTATATTACTGTTGCATGATTATAATATTAAAACCTAGACAAATTAAGGATGGTTTTATACTATGGGATGCACCTTATACAAAACAGTACGGAACAATAAATTCAAAATAAAGGACAGTAACTACAAAACGATCAATGACAGACCAAGCAGATTATAAAGTTTTATGCAGTTTTTTTAATCATTATTTCGTATCAATCAATAGATACATTTTAAAAATGTAATACCTTGAGTAGAAATAAAAGCATTTTTCTGCTTGTAACCGTCAACGTAATTTGCATTCAAATAATCTGAACAAGGATCTCCCTCCAAATGAGAAAGCCTGACTCGTGTGTGATCGTAGCACAAGACGTCCGTGTATCTATTTTTAGCCTGGTTAGGTTTCAATCTATTACAAAAAAACTATCATTAATACTACTAAAGTGGTTACAAACTATTAAGAGAGTGTGGTAAAATGACAAGTTACCTTGAAGCTTCGAATGTTCCTTCGGGAGACTTTGACTTTAAGTCTGTGTACTCTTGGTACAGACCCTTTCGTCCCTTCTTTTGAAGATGATCGATAAATTCTTCTAATGTCATTCCCAATCCGTCATCTACATGGAGAGATTCCTCCCACGACGAGGAAGCAGAACTACTAGAAAAGTGTTTTTCGTCGTCGGTGATGTCAGTTGTTGTAGAATCGGGTGAAAAGAGAATATCTTCTTGATTATCTTTCTGTAAAATAAACTGTCATTGAAAATAATACAGTGTGTTAAAAATATTTGTAAAAACTGGACCAAAATTAACTTTATATAAATTAATTTAGTTGTAATTACAGAAAATTTTATTTAAAAATTAATATATTTTAGTTTGGAAATAATTTTAAAGTTTTAACATTAAGCAATTAAATTTGTTGAAATGTCACAAATATAAGAACAATTAATTCAGATTCATCAACATATAATGATTCACACAATGTATCATAAGCTTAAACTTTCTTTCCAGTAAAATTTTTATTATTTCTTTTCAATAGAAAATATCATTTTTCTAATCATAAAAAAAAAAAAAAAAACACATTTCATATTTTGAAATTCATCAGAAAATGTGTGTAATGCATGCTACCTTATCAAACCTATATTACCTATTCAAATCTGTCTTGATTCATCTTCAGCCACAATATACCTTGTCAAAGAAGAACAAGTATGGGACATCAATAACTACTTTTAATTGAATATTTCAAAGACCAACTTGAAAAAAAAAAATCAAAATAATTCTTGAGTTCCAACAGTAAATTAAAGAATTCCAAATGTTAATAATAAACATTTACTGTCAATATACCAGTGTAACTGCTTCCAACCACAAGTCAGGCCAGCCACCTCTATGATTAATGTACTTATCTGAATGATTAATGATGCTCTTAAGCAACTTTTGAAGTGTTAATATTTTCAATACAAACAAAACAATTTATCAATACTGAAAGTCCTAATAAACTATATTATAGCAAGTTAATTATTTCATTTAATTTATGATTAACTTAGAATGTAGTTTGATTATACAAACTTACTGTATATAATGCACGGAATTCCCAAGTATAACTTGGCACTTATCTCTCTTTCAAATCTACTTGAATCAAAGGTTGGATGCATAATTTAAAATTTTCAATTTTGATTCATTTATATTCATGAATGAAATACATAACTTTCCTAACTATTATAAAATCTTATTTAGAATATAACTTTTATAATTTTAATTACAATATAACTTAATAAAATTGTATGGTGCACCATCTGTTATGAGATTTTGTTATAAAAATTTTACACATTTTTAATTATCAATACTATAAAATGGCAAAAAGCTTGATTTTGAGGGTAGGGACAAATTTTATAAAAAAGTGTAAGTGTTAATAACAAGTAAAATTGTCATATCTGACCCTATTAAAGATGCATAGGACCATTTTATCTCCCCACACCTTCAACCACCAAAATTTAATAGCACCAACACCCCTTACATACAAGCTACCATGCCAAATTTTGTTACACAATCTTTATCCCATCTCAAGATATTAAGCAAAACAGACACCAACACACACATCCAGGAAATTTTCTTGCTATTTTTTGACTTTTTTAGGTTCAGGAGGTTTCAAAATGTAGAGATTCACAGAAAACTCAGAAGGATCAAATTTAACATGATTTCAATACTTTCCATTGTTATGTATATATAACAGCTGGGAAAGTAAAACTGGTTATATCAAATTATTGGAAATAAATCTATTAAACTGGCAGATTTGTTTAAAAACTAACATTTTTAACTAGTTTAGTCAATTATCTTCAAGTTTGGAAAAACTACTTTAAAGCAGTCAACACTAATTGATTTTAAAATAAGTTTACTGATTTAAGATTTATTTTTAATAATTCATTTGCATTCTTTCATGATGAACTTAAGTATAAACTCCAAAAATGAACTGTAAAGGTTTTGAAAAATTAAAAGCAGAATTTATGTTTATATTTTCAAAGTAAAACTAGTGCATTCAAGTTTCCTATATAGACGTGTTTGCATTTTGACAAATTCTTATCTTTAAAGCAATGTATAAAATTAAAAAGCCAACAAAGGCTCTTGCATGACTTTGCCAGCACTCGAATGGAAGTTAAGGAAAAACTGTGTGGTGTGTCTGTTGGAAAATTTTATTAAAAAATAATTTTTTAAAATCTTAATTATTAGAGAAGGCAAAAGCCTTATTTTTGGAAGTAGTGGTGAGTTTTTAAAAAATTGTAAATATCAATAATGAGTAAAATTTTCATTAAATCTGATCCCTTAAAGATTTGATTCCCTACCTGCTACATTGCTTTATCCCCTTGACTTAATCTCCAAAATGTAATAGCATCAATACCCCAATACATAAAATTATTCCTTCTAAACTTCAAAGTTTTTGATCCACAAGATCTCAAGATATGAAGCAAAGTACAAGCTTTTTGTTGTTGGAATTGGAAGCCACACAATGTCAAAAAATGCAAACAAACCTGGAAGGTCATAACTTGACTGATTACAATACTTTCCTTCTGTTTTACATCAGCCAAAAATGTAAAAATAATATAATAATTAAAAAATTTTGAATACTCTGATACACAGATTTATTTTTATATCAAGTAACTTCAGTTTTGATTTTATCTAATTGTTTATTATTCATTTAATTAGGTCTACATTTAATGCACTTTATTTTATAATTATTTTAAAATAAATCTATGTTACACATCAAATAATAATTAAATTTGAGACTAATCTCCAATTCTTCAAATTTATTTTTATTAGGCTTTATTGGAGAATCCAACAACAGTTATTATCCCACAACTCTATCCCTAGTACTTTTAAACCCATTTGAGCTAATCTTTGAGTAAAAGAATATGTCTGACAAATGCTTACAGTGTTTGAGGACCAGGTAAGAAGAAGTGATAATAGTGCCTTTCTGGGAAAAAAATGGATCAAAAGAATACACTTATATTTATTACTATTTACAAGCTGCAATGAACATGCTTTTCCTCAAGAAGTAAACACAGATAATTATTTATTAAAATAATTAAGATACCTCATGCTTTTTAAACAATCTACTATTGATAAATTGTTTTGTCAGAAAGTTTATAGCTGANACTTGACATTAAGAAATATTTACTAATATTTCATTTGTTTATAACAGACATCTTCAGGCATATAATGCAGAACAAAATGGCTACATTAAAATCAAATGCATTTTTATGAACGATTTACAAGTTCAAATTAAAATTGTTTCTGGAACAAAGTATGTATACAGTTTAAAATTATTTTTCACATAAGTTAATTTTAAATTGTAGATGCATTTGTTCCAGAAACAATTTTAATTTGAACTTGTAAATCGTTCATAAAAATGCATTTGATTTTAATGTAGCCATTTTGTTCTGCATTATATGCCTGAAGATGTCTGTTATAAACAAATGAAATATTAGTAAATATTTCTTAATGTCAAGTGTGCTGGTATCAGTATGTTGTGTATGTTCATCTTCTATTTCTTTCAATTGTTGTTACTTGAAGAACTGAGCTAATGCATCACTATAAGCTATCTTATCTTTGTCTGACTTAGGGAGAAAATAGATTTAATACTAAATATAAAATTGATAAAAATCTATTTTTATAATACTGTTTATGCCAAATCTTTAATTTCTACATGGGGGTAATTATTCAATATAAACTTATTATCTAATTGTTTTAATTCCATTTTACAATCAGTGTTATTAGAAGTTCTGGTATATATGGTGTATAGTAATTGTCAGATTGATAGAAGTAACATGAAAATACTTTGTTATGAAAAAGAAATATATAAGCGTAAATTCAAAGAACATATTGAAATAATAAAATATAATAATAATGATTTAGTGAATTTATCAAACGGTATGCAAATTAATTAACAGTGGTATAACATGATAGAGGGTGTGACTAGAAAAAGTAATCTATAATGGTTGTGTCGTGTGATGGTTGCAAATGTAATACTGTGAATAAGCAATGAAAACATTATGTATGTATTAAGGTTTATATTTGTTTAATAATTTACTTATAACTTGTAAAACTGTTACTTTAATTACAGTTATTCCGACAGATTTTTAAAGGATACACCATGTTTTAATAAAAAATACCCTGCATTGTATAGTTATATGTTGAAAAATATCATATTGTTACTATAGTAATGTTGAGATATAAAAAAGTATATCTCTACAGATTTTAACGTCAATTTTTAGTGAACCTTTGTACTATTGTCACCCGATACACAATCATGTTTTTATCGAAAAGCATAGCTAGGAGTACCATATAAGTGTACCGGTATAATTTGAAAAGTGCTACTTTGCCTCCTGAGCATTACACTGAGGAGGGGCTTAAATACTGCATAAGCCCAAAATGCATTTGTGAATTGCAATAAAGGAGTACCTAACCTAATAGCTGTAAGGAAGTATACTGGATTATTTATTTATTCGATTAAATAAACATGTATTCAAAAAAAAAAGTCTTTGATAACTATACATATTTATATACATGAAAATATCAGTAACATCACTGAATGGTCAGTCTAGCATGCCTAAAACTGAAGTAAAAAAAAAAAGGATCACATTAAAAGAACTTGAATAATTAGTTAAATACAGTAGTCAGATCCAGTGACATTAGAAAATCAGCTATCTACTGAAAATTTAATTTTAAAAAAATATTTAAAATGTATATTTGAATTGAATGAAAATGTATTTGATCATCAGTGTCAAATATGTATTTGACAATGGTGTTAGCATTTTCATTCAAATGAACATGTTTTGGTAGATTAAATGTGATCAAAAACTAACGGCCCTTCAATGCATATTTTAGCAATTGAACTTGCATACCAACAAACAGAACAACTCAGTTTTACTTGTTTAATAGTGTGCTTTGATAGTGTGTTTCTTTTGGCAACAACTTCAAAATAATTAAGATACAGTGCTATATAGTGTTGGAAAACAGCATTTTTCCAACACTGTACAGTATAACTGCCTACAACAACTATAAGCATTTTTTAAAAAATACTTTAACATGGGCAGAAAGTGCACTCTAAAAAAATCTCAAAATATGAGTTCAAATTTCAAATCAGCACATTCAACTTTGTCTAAACTGAAAATCCTCTCTCTTGTACAACTTGATATAACTAGAATAATAGTATTTTTTCTCAATTTCAATAATTATTGTATTTTATAGATCAGGGATGGGCAAGCAAGAGTTCAGTGGGAGCCTAAATTAGGTTTTGCAAAACGCATGGGAGACACAGTTCTGTACTTTTTCATTCTGTACCACAATTTTATTATATAATATAAATATAATATAAAACAAATATTGAAGTTTTTAATAAACATATTTCACAAAATTGTGGAAATAAAATTGTAAAAAAAAAAATAAGCAGAAATTAACACTTTCAGTAAGAGCCACATTTGTCCATGTCTGTTATAAATACTGAAATATTTATATTTCTGCTATTTCATTTCAGCTTTTCTTTAAATGAAAAGTTATTTCTTCATTTAAATCTTAATTCAAGAAATATCTTAAAGCAGAGGTCAATAATAATTTTACATTATTATTATATAATGATAATTAAAGTACAACTTTCTAGAAAGGGAAAGATTAATTGTTTAATGGGCAAGGTGTATCAATGTATCTTTAATAGCAAAAACAACACATGCATTCACTTCTGATCATCATTGGGCTACAATTTGAGAACTATATATGAACTTCTGATGCAAACCAGAAGTCACATTATTTCAATTCAAAAATCCTCCCAAAAGATATTAGATAGATGACTGGCACAACTATTGTTAAAGGAAAAGTATGATGTACAGTACAGAGGCAAGCCACTACTAATTTGAGGTGAAGAGCACATTTTAAATTAAATAGATTAAAAATTGCAGCCCAGCATTGTGATGATGTCACAATAAATAATTGCTTGTTTGCATTGCAGTTTGTTTATAATTTTAAAATATTTTAATTATATTACTTACAGCATTTTGATAAATAGGAGATTGGTCTTGTTTCTCTTTAGTAACTTCGACTTCTTTTTCTCTGTCTTCTGAATTTTGCTTCTCATGTACTGAATGCTGATGATCACTAGATTCATCAGTTTCTCCTTCACTGCTTACGTGAATGCTGTGAGGACCAGTCAGAGGACCATTCTGTATACTTTCTTTATGAGAAAATATTGAACCTAATTGAACTGATAATGGCGAGGATGGTAGAGATATAAGATCGCATAAATCACCATAACGATTTGTCATAGATTTTAGACAATGCAACAACCAGGCTTTGTGATCAATGTGTAAATTTCCACCTAAATCTCTTGGCAATGCTGATGATGAAATATGTAAAGCTAATTGTGGCACACTAACCATATATACCTGAAATGAAAAACATTTCACAAATTTAATTTTTAATTTGTACTATATAAAGTATTTATAAAATAAATTTGGTATTTTATTGGTTACATATTATCAAAAAACCATTTATACTTTAATATTTTTCAGGCCAACACTTTTTTACACATTATGAATCTGTAAACTGACCTTTTTGGGTCCTTTTTTTAAAACAAATAACTTTAAGCTATACTAATAATAAAATTTATAAAGATAGTCTTTTCCTGTTTAACTTGATATATAATAAGTAAGGATTTACTGATATAAATTTGTTTGATTATAGATAATTTAATGTAAACAAATGAAAAAATCAATTTTTAACCTTTTTTTTTTATAATTGCTCTGTTTGAAGAATTTACACTTGAATCTGATTGAACAATGGTTTAATTTCCTTCTATTACTTGTTTCTTGTTACAATCGTGTCATTTCCCTCCCCTTAGTCATGTAATCTCACATGTCATTGGGTGACCTCAGACAACAAACAGAATTCAAACAAAGATACAATGTGAGAGAATTCTGACGCTTTCGAAGGTGACTTTGGACATCCGAAGAGGGACCCCCCTCTCGCCAGGGGATCGCACGGTTATAAGGTGACTGCGTCGTTTGGATAAATATCCAATTGGCTGCAGCAAACGTGTGATGTTAACCCAGAAGGTCATCAGTGAGGGTAAAACGAAATCCCGTGATATTATCCCCCATAAGTCCGAGCAACCCGACGAGAAATGACCAAAAAAGGCAATGAATTTTTTCTACGGCAGGAGAGACGGTAATAAATCAGGGAGAACTGTCAAATTACGTCAACGAAATCCCAGATCTTTCCCACAAGAAGTGGGTATATAAAGGGGTCGGATTTGCTCCTCCGGGCGGTTAGCCGAGGAGCTAACGCCGAAGCAACCCCTCCGGACAGCTGAGGAAGACCTCTACCCCGTCCATCGCTGCCTATTGCCATCCAAGGGAACTCCGATTGGAACTTCAGTGACCGATCCCGGTGCGTCCTACCAACGACTTATACGAAGAGATCGCATCCTACGAGGTAAACCCTTGCCAGAATTTTGTCTCTCTCTTCAACATGTCCCTCTTAGAGAGGTCTCTCTCTCAATCTTTAGCTTTAGGTTAGGTTAGAATATAGGATAGATTTTTATTTTTATTACACGTGTGTTATATTTATTGTCTTTGATATGTATATGTGTTAGTATTGTTCAAACCGTGTAGTTATCTGGACACCTTGTCACGACTCCACTACCCCTCTCCACTCATTTACCAAAGCCATCCCTGACAACAAAGCCGGTAAGTGGGGAGAAGCTCTCCAGTCTAACCCCCTCGGTTCACAAATGTTAAAAATTGTTTTACTTGAAAGCTGAAGGATACTGCTAACTAATGACAGTCAATATACAGAATTTTAATTCAATAATATTTTTTAAATGCTTTTATTTCCAAAATGTTGCATTTAAAACTCTTTTTTAAATTCCCGTGTGCCATTTTTAGGAATACATAGGACAGAAAATGGTAATAATTTACAAGAACTGAACATTAAATTATTTAATAATAATAACCCTGATGAAAAACCTATTTTTTGTTATAAAATTTGATAAAAACTGAAAGACTTAATATACTGTATTAAATTTTAAATTTTGTCAATAGATGGAGCTAGGAGTATATTACTTAACAGGTCTTTAGAAGGCATAAGCCATTTATCTTATCTTGTACAGGTATGAACCCAAGTGTTAAATTTATACAAGTTTGAAATAAGATATATTTCAGGATCTATGCAATTAATAACAAATTTAAGAAATAAGAGAGCTATTTATATTCATGGAATTCAATCTGTAAATTTTCCCTTATAAATTAAATCTAGATTAATAAACTTGAAAGTGAATACTGTTTGTGTCACTTTTATCCATGTGTAAATATTGACATTTAATAAAATATAAAGAAACATAGAAGAATAAAATAAATAATAAGTAATGTTTTCTTTTTAGAAATTGTGGATTAATAAAAACTTTCTTAAAAATTAACTAAAATTTTTATTTTTATTTATTTATTCTCAATAAACTTCATTTAATAATAGTGTTTAATAATTTTTTATTACAAATTAATTACAAATAGTGTTGCATTCAGATAAATCTGAATGCAACACTATTTGTAATTAATTTGTAATAAAAATTTCATCTATACCAAACACACTCAATAAAATAATTCATTTGCATGTTTAAATATCATACATAATAATTTCTTTTCTTATTTACGATTCACTTTGTAATGTATTATAAAAATTTTTAACCTCTGCATGGCCGAAATCGTCAGTGAATACCGCCAGAGACGGCCGAAAAAGTCAGTCGTCGTCCGTCCTTCCGACAACAGAAACACGAACCGTTTACTCCCTGACTATCATTGATCAGTGTTCAATTTGGATATCTTGTGCCATTCTTGTGCTGTTGGATATTAGCTTGACTAATCCCCATCGGACTATTATCACCCAACGAGAACTCCTATCTTCTATCACCAGGTATTTATACAACTCACGCTTGTTATGTGAACTCTCTCTCTCCGCAACACAAACTTAGCATTCTGTATCTTATCCAATATTTTTTCAATTAAATCCTTGTTAAGCATTAATTGTAGTTCAAGTCACTTCCCTATGTTGTCTCTCGATCGGCTGACATTACGAATCCGTCTGACCACTTACGGGACCGCTTGCGCGACGGTGTGACATGGAAATTACCGCCTTGGCTTCCGTGTTCTGATAAACATGGTGGTATCGATCCTGACAGGGCACTAAAGAGGTGCCGACCCGAAAGGTCACAATCTCCTTTCTTCTAATATTGAAAAATTTGTTTAATTTAGATGTGTTTGGGATCTCATAAACAGATAAAATCAATTAATTTGTGTATTAGCAACAAATAAAATGTTATGTTTTATTTAATTTCATGTACATTGTCACAAAATAGATTTTTGTTGGCTAGACCTTCGTCTAATGGGAGAATTCCACACTGATCTTTAAAACACTGAATGCATGTTTGTGAAACTATCAATACCAAAACTGTTTTTAAAATGTAAATTTTCTTTGTTGGAACTTTATTTTCTTACAAATGTTTGAAGTTCTGTTTGTTCTCTGATTAATAACTTTTATTCATTTAATTTATTTAATAAACTTTATTCCTGTCCATGCAAATGTAGTCTGTTGCCTTGTAATATTTTAGATTATAAGTGTCTAATAAATTGTATATTGTTAAATTATTTCATAAATTAAAAGTTTTTTTTTTTGTATTTTTACTCTACATAAAGAATTTGTTTTAATTCAAATTAAAATTTAAAAATTTTATTCTGATGATATAATAATATAGGAAAGGTCATAAAAGCCATGTATTTAATTAATTAATTAAAGATATTTTAATTGTAAATATATGTAACTTTTGAATTTATGTTTTCATTAAAAATCTTGAACATTTAATAGCCTGTTATTGTATTTTCATATAAGTCAACTAAGCTAAACCTATTTTATTAAAAATAAATGTAACTTTTAAAGTTTCTAAACAAAATAATTATAGTGCAATTCAATTTATTAGATTTGTACTTACCCTGTCTCTCAACTTTTCTCTGACAAACAAACGTAATATTTTAAAGGGTGCTTTAAACCATAATGGAGCACTAACAATCAAAACTTTTTTCAAACGAGCAGGATAACCACCCTACATTAATTAATTACATCAAATATTAATAAATTTATGATAAAATCACTGAATAAGAGATATTTAGTTAATTTTTTCTTTTAGTTTGTATAATTGTTGTCTATCTTTTCTACAGACAAGGCATTTAAGAACAAAAAAATTTCTTACCTTCAATAAACTTAAAATTTTTTGACTGAGTTCGTAATCAAAATTAGCATATTTGGAACCAGTCATATTATAAATAAATATCATCCCACTTCTCTGTGTCTCAAGGCTTGAATAGAGAAATTTTTAAATAATTATTTCTCAATTTTTTTAAAGGTAGTTAATATTTCATTTAAATTATTACTTTCAGTACAATTTTACCTTTCTAATGCTACATCTAATTGATAAACAACACCTTGAAGAGTTGTCTGATGAGTAGTGGTAGTAGGAATATGCTTTCCAGCTGTAAAAACTGCCAATGCTGCACCACTGTTGTCTCTTGTAGGCTACAAAAAACAAAATTATACTATTAATATATTATTAAAAAATAAAAAATATGTAATATTAATTCAAAATATTTCCACTTAAACTCCTTAAATAACACAACAATAAAAAAAATTATGTTTCTTATTCAACATTACAAACCAAACTAAAACAACTAAAGACTACCAAACATGCCACAGCTACAAACATTTATACACAGAAACATAATTGATTTTTAAGTTGTAACTACAATTCTTGCTTGTTTAGGAAACAAAACTATCATTGTATAATATTTCATGCCAGCCTAACCGATACTATGATAGTTTTTGAAATATCGGTGTAATATATATTGCATCCATTACAGATCTTGTATTTTTAAGTGTCTTAAAAATAAATGTTTAATTACAAAATGATATCAGTAATTTATCTGGTAAATATTTTTTATAAACATACATTATAAACTTTAACAGCTCCATTTGTGTTGAAATTAGACAAAATAAATAAAACAAACATTTAATACTTTTAGAATCAAAGGGTGAAAATTTTTATCAGGATAAATGCTCTTTGAATTCAGCATTCAGGCACTGTAGCCTCAAATCTAAAATCTGAACAAAATCAAACGTGAAAAGATTTAAGTGAATTAAACAGCATTTAATATTTAATGTTTTAAAGCAGTGGTGTCCAAACTGTTCAACTGGTAGGCCAAACTGCGTGTAAACTGTAGGTAGGTGGGTCACAAATATTTTATATATTCTGTATATACAAAAAGCAAGCCTATTTCTATTGTTTCTCAAGTGATGTGTGAAATATGTTCGTGGACCAGATTTGCCCATGATATTACCGTTTTGA